GTGTAGTCGTTGGTGCAGGAATATTGAACACTGTTAAATATAATACCCTACTCGTAACGGCCAATGTGATAAACTTGTTAATGCATGTACTGTCTACACGGAAATACTGTCTGAGTAGGTTTAGACCTAGTTTTTTGTTGGTCTCTATCTCGCGAGAGACTGCGAACAACAATAGTTTATAGTTTACAACTAAAAACTCAAGTAATGGTTATTTTAAGTCGCATATAGTGGGAAATGTGATAAAGTTGTTAGTGCATATGCTGCCCATACGGAAGTACTGTCTGACAAGGAAAGCTTTTAGGTGTCCGCCTCCGATTGTTTTGATTTTTGTATATGTTATACGTATTTATAATATGGAAGTGTCCACATACTTCTGAGCGGGGGTGTACATATATCGACGGTTATATTTATTATTAGCTTTACGTAAACATGAAAAAGAAATGTTACCTGAAAACGTTGATGGCCAGTAGGAGGTTCGGCGTATCTCACGCCACGAAAGGAGTAAATATCCTTGCCGAGTCTGGAGGTTAATATCGAACCTCGTATCGGTCCAGTTGGGGCAGTCACGAGTGGCTGCTCCCGAGGGGAGTTTCTGGTGGCGATAATGCCGACGACACAGGAAAGTACTATGAAAATAGTCTTCATTTTAGAGCTGGAAACTCGCTCTTTTCCGCGACGTCTTTCTCGTGATCGTGATATAGTACCCGAGACGTGCTCGATCTGCTTAACTGATTTGTTCGGTGCTCGTGCGAGCACTGGCGTACCCAAGGCCAGAACCGGACAATTTATATGGTTACTTACGAGGAAAACGAGTGGGGAAATCAAATTATCAGCATGGGAAGACTAAGCGTTGCACTTTGCAAACGTTCACGCGAGGTCAAATTATGTGTCAGGTGGTATCATAATTATTTGCATTTGCTTTTAATTGCATACATCCAAACAAAGAGTTTATTAACGTAAGTAACAGGAGTATAGAACGTGTAATAAAAAACGGTAAATACGTGCAAGTACGTACGATCCACTACAAACAAGATAAAAGCGTGTCATCTACCTTGTACTTCTATTTGTAGCGGATTTCGCGCGTATTTATACCTATTAATAGTTTCAATGTATATAATATGATATTTTTATTATACAATTGACAGTATATGTATCTATATATCTATATATAATATAGATGTCAAGACCTCGCGAGGCATAAGTTGAATAAACAAACGATAAGAAATGTAAACAGTTGCACTCGAAGTCATTTTATTAATACAACCAGTTTGTGAATTTCCAGAGAGTATTACTCAATATGTCTAGTATCCATAAAGGGAAGAAAGAATGCGGATGTGAAATTATATTCGCAGTGGTCACGTTATACAGCCTGTGCTACAGGAAGCAGAGGAAAGAGTTTTTCCCATTCCTGCATTCTGTTCAAATACAGACCAGTTCTCATGGTTGGATTCAGGTTGATCTCCAAGTAGTTATCTTGCCTGGACACAAACCTGTCCCATTTTACATTCTTATAAGCGCCAGTCTTGGGAACTGGTTCGCCAGTTTCGACGAAGTTTGTCCACATGGACGTGTACAATTCCACCATTGGGATTTCAGGCGCGGAGCTGTCGAAGAATGGAAAGAATTCCTTCATGAAGAACAGATATTGCAGGTCATCCTGATGTACGACACCTGAAATTGTTTTAAGTGATTGTATATGAATACAACATGAATTCTGTGTGATACATACAGGGTGTTCCACATCGTCTGTTATAAAGCTATAACTCCAAAGCTATCGGCTGTATGAAAATTTATTAACATGGAAATTGCAAGGTAAAATGGGACGCATGTTTCAGCGAGGAGAAATTTTTGTTATACAAACAAATCTTTCTGTAAACTTTCTGTATACAAACTAATCTTACCGTATGGCGTGGTGGCGTTCCAATAGGTAAAGCTGTAACGTCCTTGAAACGTAAATTCGTAAAAATACACGGGTTTATCAGAGTTCTCAGCAATCAGTTTCGCCGTACGATACATTGGGAATATAATTATACTGTCTGCATAGATCTGAAAACAGATTTATGATAATTCCCATTAGGGTTGGAGATCGATCGCCGCAAGATCTATCTCGATGAAACCTACGTGAGCAAGACCATCGTTATTCGCCGGGCCGAGTGGCTGACCGTTAAAATAAAATTGACGTAATTGATCGCTGATATATTTTGACCGTGGCGTTCCACGTTCGTACAGGAAACTAATCGGTGCGATCCGGTCCCAATTGTCGCTCATATCGCGATAATAGTCGTCTCCCTTCTTGGTTTCGTTTTCGAATACTACGAAACACGGAAGATCGTGAGACACGTCCTTCCATTTCTGATCAACGATACGATCAACGAAGGGTGTGTGTACTTACGAGCAACCACACCGCCAAATTCGTCTTTGGTCACTCCGAATATAGCTGGAACCTGATGAAACTTCTTTTGCCTGATCAGATCGACGGGTTGAGCCGGTAAGAATTGTTCCACACCTGGGATTTTCGGTTCCACAACCGGTTCCCAGATCAAAATTGGATCCCCATGCCATTCCTGAAATAAATAACTCTGTAATTCGTAAACGGCATGTTTGGACGCTCGCTTAAAAATATGTGAAACCGGTGACTTATATATGTATATTTCTATATATAGACTAACGAAAAACTCGGACATGGTGTCCGTGAAGTTGCTGACAGGCTTCGACCTCAGGCAAGTTAACATGGCTTCGTTATTGCTAGTGGGACAGTCCAAAAGTTCCGCTTGCTTCTTGGCGAGCCGTTTTTGTTCAGTTGGATAAGGTTCCGTGGTTAAAAGCGAACCGCTCATCACGATTGCTCTGTGGAATAAGTCTTTAGACATCGGAGATAACATGTGCAACATCGTACTGAGTCCACCGACGCTGTATCCACTGATAGTCACAGAATTGGGATTTCCTCCAAAGGCGATAATGTTCCTTCGAACCCAACGAAGGGCCAACACTTGGTCCTTTAGTCCCAGATTTCCTGGTGCCGCGGAATCACCCGTACTTATAAAACCTGAAATAGACGAGCGTTTGCAAGTAAATCGGTAGGATCCGTCGGTCAGTGTTTCGAGGAATAGTAGAGACTGGATAAGTGCAAGAAAATCGGGACCCGAATATTGCAGTTACAGAATAGAAACAAGGAAGGTCCGAGGGAAAAGAGCAGTCGGCAGAAGCGTATCGGTGAGACAATGGTACAGCAATGTCTCCATGACTTCACAAATTTGTTTACGATAAATGCACAGAAACCAGCACCGCCACTGGTAGGCATACCTCTCGAGAGATCTTGGAGTTCGATCGCCGAGTAGTGTAAACATGACCTATATTACTATAAACTTTTTTGTTGTGAAACTTTTCCCATCGTATTCCTGGCATTTTTCTGATTAAAGTGAGACCAAACACGTAGTAATTCGCAATACATTTACTTGTAACAACTTATTACGTATTATGCAAGATGTCATAAATAATAATAAAATTATATTACTCAATAAAACTCATTGAAGGTATGAGAAATCTACTATTCTGTGTTCTTCTAAAAAAACGGACAGAACTTTCCGGTAATACAGACTCTACGATAACTGCACAAGGTCAGTCCCGAGTTTGTGCATTTATGGGGACATTGGTGTAGATAGTCTCACCGATATCTCGGTTAAGATCGTGTTACACTGCTCGCTCGGGATAGTCATCTTGCATCTACCCAGTGAATCCTGTCTCTACTGTACCTAACGTTCCGATACGATAATTAACAGTAACCAGAACGATGTTCTTGTCCATCAGATACTGAGGACCGAAGTAAAAGCTCTGTCCAGAAAAGCTGTAAAAACCACCGGGATGGAAAAATACCAAAACTGGCCTGGACACATTCTCATCTTTCGAGGGCAACTGAAAATATTCGATAGAATAATTTCACGACGTAGATAGATCTACGGGAAGACGCATCTGCGAAGCCATACTTTGGTGGTGTACACGTTTAAACGCAAGCAGTCTTCGGACATTAACGGCACGCCGTCTAAATTCGGGCACGAAGGACCTTCTTCGGACGCGTCGAATACATCGTTCCTGTCAGCGGCTGGGATCGCAACCTGCGTTACGAGAAAATTGCAGTACTTATTCTCGTCGATGTCCCATAAATATCCGCAGAAAAGGAAACGCGTGGAAACTTGGTCTGCGTTCCCACGGTAAAAAAACTGATGATAATTTTTAGACGAAGAAGACGTATCGATTTAGATAAGGACGGGACACCGGGAGCCATTTCGTTGAAACTTGTTCGTCGCGTGACGGGAATAAATGAGAGATGACGACGATCTCTGCTATCTTTACGGAATTAATTGAACTCGAATTGGAACAAGTGCCAAGAGTTTACCTTAAAACGACGGTCTCCCGTAGGAGGCTCGGCATATCTCACTCCGCGGAAGGAATAAATCTTCCGTCCAAGCCTTGAATTCAAAATAGAACCACGGATTTTTCCTGTTGGTGCAATCGCTTCCGGACGCGAAGGAACACTCTGAACGCTACAGATGCAGACGATACAGAACAAGATCGCCGAGCGTGGCGTCATTTTGTCAACTACAATTTCGCGCCTTTTATTTTCGTAAACCTTTCTCTCTTCGTGCAAGAAGAGCTCGATTCTTATCGTCGGCCTGTTGACTCGGCCGATGCTCGAACGACACTGATCAAGTCGGGAACGGAAAGGCACATTTTATAGCGAAACTAAGAGAAAAGAAACATATTATATTGGATATACAGTTACATTAGTTGTTGCGGTGCAATTAACAACGTTGATTCAATATGTATTTAAATAATCTCTAAAGATAATTTTTTATCGTGCTAATTATACTTTCTTATCGTGTCACTATTTACTTAAGACACGATATATCTTTGCGGTATATTGTTTTATGTCCACAATGTATAGTCAAGATTTATTCAACACCCAGTGCAGGCGTCAAAATATTTTGAGATGGGTATGGACATGTTAAATCCACATGTTGGAATCCACGGGTTGGAAATATGATTATAAATGGAAATGAAAGTCAGAACTCTTAAAAGAAGCTCCATTTGAATTGTAAAGATTGGTGTACACCTAGTAGTGCAATATGAAACAGAGAAAGAGCCCCATGCACTGTACTAAAACAAGCAAGCAACGATGTTAAATCCATCTAGTGGCAAGACGCCACGAACTTTTTTCGAATACCTATTATATCCATGTTACTATCGCACTTTCCTTATTTACTTAGAACTCGTTCATTTACAGATGCGTCATCTTGCGACACGCTTACGTAATATCGAGGGAAAATCCGGAACGTAAACCTCGTATTTCCTTAAGAGACATATCGCGCGTCAATATTTCATTTGACCGTGTTGTTATCGTTTGTAGTTCGGTCACGTATCGGTATCGTTAACAATTTACCTCGGTACGGTCAAGTCCGCGACAAAGTTATACGTCTCGAGCGGCGCACTACTTTGTCGCCGAAAAGTAAACTTAATCAACAAACAATTTTTCCTTGTTTCCTTTCTTTTTATTCGTATAATATGCAAACTTTCTATTTTTCTTCCTCGTCTTCTTTATTCGTCTCGATTTCCTTTTGTTTCGTCTGTTTCTTCGTCCGAACTCTTTCAGCCCTTTTCCTTTCTCTCTTCTGTCTCTTCGCCAAGCCCGGGTAGATACAAGGATCGTAAGTCGGTTCGTAAGCGATCGGATCGATCGGACGCTTCTTAGCGACTTTCTTCGTCTTCTCTTTGTCTTCCGGCGGACAGTCGCGCATTTTGTACTCTTTAACTTTGGGCAACACTTTTCCATATACCTAGCGAAATCATTCATCGAATTACGAACAATCTTACGAAACCGTTTCACGCCCGCTTTAACAATCCCGAGGAAAGAACGTGTCTTACAGGCATTTTAAAAATCGGTTTTCCGTATTTATCCTTTTCGCGCGGAGGTCTCCTCTCTACCGGACTCAGGGGATTGATCGGCTTCGCCAAAGACTCTACTCTCGCGGAAGCTGACGCGGTTAAAGCCCCCTTTCTCACTTTGAAGGGATCGGATCTGACGGCTTTACTTTTATGCACGCGTGGTTCAGCTAATTTTTCCAAACCCGGTGGCACTACAATAGGGTGATAACGTTTATCAATTTACTTCCGATTTTCGATGCAACGATTCGTTTAGTTCTGAAGCAGACCTTTGCCCTCTAACACTCCTCTTTTTACAACGTAAGGATCATCTTTGCATGGATGCGGTGCATACCTCCATGCGTGTTTCTCAATTTTTCGTCGTTTAGCTTTCTTCTCTTCATCGTCCTTCGGTTCCGCGTCACCGTCGCCGCCCTTTTCCTCTCCTTCCTCTCCTTCCTCTCCTTCCTCCAGTTCCTTGTATTTTCTTTTTCTTCCAATTCTCTTTTCTTGCTCGGCTAGAGCACTTTTACCTCTTTCCGGGCCGTCCTCGATTATCGCTTTCTTCCAAGTTAACGCGTTCTCATCTTTCCGGTATTTTATCCTCTTGTACGAAGGAAGCGCCAAGTACTCCATCCATGGCGTAATCTGGAGATTAATAAAGCCAAGCACTATTTTACAAGTTGTCTGTGATGTACTTTTAGTACTTATATTTTTCTCGGTAAAACTGTATGAAAACTTCTCAATGAAAACATTTCTTGGCCATGTAAAATAATGTAAGGTTTTGAATAATATATAATATAAATTCGAAGAATTTCAATATGTTCTGACGATAACTATACAGATTTACATCGATCAACGATGTTAAATGAAAGATTATCCTCTCTGGCCACTTTATTTATAGAAAATGATTTATTATGATCTCTAGATTTGATAATGGATTTTCCAAGCATAGAATCTAGAAAAAGAAAACTATTTTATTAAATATAAATAAATAATTCTAATAGTAAATTTAATGTTTTCATTGTATAAATAGTGTGTATTTATATTCCATGTATATATATACAAGGTGTCCCAAAAACGTTGGAGGTCCTTGAAAGGGGTGGTTCGGGGGATGATTTGAAACAACTTTTCATATCTCCTTAACGAAGCCTCAGAGAAAATTTTCGCTAAGGAAAAAGTTGTTTCAAATCACCCTCCGAATCCCTTTGAAGAACCTCCAACATTTTTGGGACACTCTGTATAATACAAGGAACGTCCTCGTACCTCGTACACGAGCGCAGATCTCTTTATACCGTGCGGTGTAAATATTTCAGCGATTTCTTCGGGAGTCAATTGCTCGGGACAGTGAAGCAATTTTTTTGCCAGAGCCAATTTTTTCAGTCTTTCCGGGTCAACCACTCGTCTCTGCTCGCACATCCGTACCCTAGGGGGCTTGCATTCCTCGGGAAGGTGGACGCGGGGCTGACTTAGCTCGCAGATCCTGTCGGAAGCTTCGTACTTGAGGGCTGCCGGGGAGACTTTATAAAACACTCGGCCATAGTCGCACAGCCTCACGTTTGGCAAGGACAGGAGGACCAGTCGCCTCGACGGGCAAAAGTTCAACGCTGCTTTCGAGATACTGTGATCCAAAACGCAATTGATCCTTGGATCGGGTGTCTTGCGGGGTTGCGCCAAGATTTTTAATCTTTTTCTCAGTTGACGCAGCGGCTTCGATGGTCGGACCTAACGAATATCGTAGATTTTGTACGGAAGAAACGTGCGAGATACTTTCTACTTTCCCGCGTTCAAACGAGAGAAAACTGGTAGAAATCTTTAGAACGCAATTTCTAGAAAAGCAATGCATTAAGTAGACTGCTGTTTTGTGTATTTCACGAGAAGCTAACGAAAGTATTCTGTAGTATATGTATTCTGTTGTTTATGTATTGTTGTAGTTTTCCTCTCAAACATTTGATTAGAATCGTAATAGTAATTATTGGGTTGTCCGGAAAGTCCATGCCGATTTTTGATAGGTGGTGCAGGTCTGAATATGTCGAAATGGCTGAAAACAAATAATATATATATATATGTACAACTCTTAAAAAGTGGAAAGATTGTGGAACAAAATGGTACCTATGTAATTAAATAAATATACATATAAATAAATGTATATTACAATTGAAATGTGCGTTTGAAGTTTTCTTAAAAATTAGCACGAACTTTCTGGACAACCTAATACAATTCGGAAACATATGATTACACTCGTAATCGTAATTATGATTACGATTATGCCCAACACTGACGCGTACTAACTATAGGCTCGTGTTCCGGGATCTTCTTCGGTTGAGCGTTGATTTTTGCCCAGGCATTGAAACGCGCCCAATCGGCCGGTGTTTGCAGCCATCCTTTTAATTTTTCTGTAACCTTGCCCGTTCTACGAACAATTAAAATATAAAGTGATACTGCGCTTTAAAATGTAACGATTTAACGTTGATATCAAATTTACCTTCCTTTATCTTTCGATTTCTGTATCTTTTTTAATCTACGCGGTGCTGGTCGACCTCGTTTAGTAGTTGCTTCCTTCTGTGTCGCGGATTTTGAACTAGGTCCTTGCCTTGCGATAGCCGCTGGTGGTTTCTTCGCTCTTGGAGCCATTTTCTAGATCTTTTACAAGATCTTCGTCTCTCACTTGTATTATTTAGGTTAGATATTATTTCTTCGGTTTAATGGTGACAATGACGAAAAATGAAAATTTTGACGGTGATATATTCCACTGAAATATTCATTATGGTATCAAACTTTGATATCAATGCTTCATTGCCGTTCTTTATTTATCTATTTTTCCTTGATGTGAATTAAACTTGAGAAATGTTTAGAAGAGACATTTTCGAGAGAAGGTGAACCTTCGCTTGTCTTTTCCCTGTTAAGAATATTCGATACCAAACCAAACGCAAACGATGCAGTAACTTGCTGAAATAAAGCCTTAAAATCCAACGTAAGCGTATTCGGCAGAATCGCTTCGACGTTTCATTGAAACAAACCGTGAAATGAATCAAATTTAATTTGTCAGTTACATTTGTGGTATTATCGTTTTAAAATTTCAGTTGTTAGAAATTGATTATAATCATTTTTTGGTCACAAGTTATCGCTTCTTTGAGAGCGCGAAAGTTTCGGATTGTAGTTCTTGATCGTTTGAAAGTAATTATTGAATTCCTCGTGAGCCTCGGCTCGTGCTAAATAATTCTTCGGTTTCGCTAGTTCGTTTAAACGTTTCGAACAACGTTTGTTCCTGGCAGCGACGATGCGAGCGTAGGTGTCCAGTAGAAATTTCTTCTTCTTCGATTCTTGCGCGTCCTTCGATTGCTCGTTGCTGTTTATCAGTTTATGCTGTTGTTTCGCTGATGATAATTGATAATAAATAAGGATTAGTATCGCTGTTCGATGCAAGACCAATGTCTCCATAACTGCACGTTCGAAGCTCGTCGGCAAACAGAGAATATACGATCATGTAAACACTGTTCGGCGATCGAACTCCTTGACCCCCTGTCCTAGTGGTGGGGATGGTCTCTGTGCAGTTATATCGTAGACTTTGTGCAGTTATGGAGACATTACTGTACCTGTAGTCGCAGGAGTACTCTTCGTGGACGAGCTTGACGCTATGGACACATTTTTATTTGGTTTTCGTCTTGGCTGAGCGAGTTTGTTTAAAGAATCCGTAATTTGGTAAGATAAAGCTGCGGGCTTTACCTGAAACATCATAATGATACGATTAATTATGTCTTGTTCGTCGTACATAATTTAAATAAAATG